TTCAGGCTCAGGTGCTTCTGCTGCTTGTCTGTCAGCCTGCGCATCACGATGGCGCACAGGTACCGGCCTGCAGACAAGGGGGCATGGTGTGCTGGCCCCCTCCTCTGACCTTGGTCAGCTCTGCGTCTCAGGATGGGAGCCGACTGTCGGCCAGCTACCATGCGAGACCCAATGGGGCCATAAGTCAGGCCAGGCTTGACCCAGAGTAGAGGGGGCATGAGCACTGCCAGGGGAGCCCAGACCAGCCAGGGGACCCAGGTGGCTCGGCTTCTTGGCAAAGCCGGCCCTGGATAGGTCCTGGTGGAATTGGGTCATCGATCGAGTGGTGACCCTTAAGAGGATATGTTGCCACACACCAGTGACCTCCTTTGGAGAAAGTGGCTTTTCCTTGGCAGGTGCTGCCCGTCGTATTAAATCAGGCCACACCAGAGTAGGGCGGGCCCAGACCCGAGGAGCATCTTATCGGGGAGGCAGACGTGAAAAAAAAACTGGCGCAGGGGAGACAGTGTGTGGGTATCAGCCCCCTGCCAAGGACCACGGAAACAGAAGGAGATGGGGAAGGCCCTTCCCTGCAGCACACAGCTTTCCCGTGGCCGCCGGAGAAGACCGAGGCAGAGGGGGCTGAGGCTGCCTCCCCTCAAGCCACTGTCTGTATTACAGAGGGCGATGGGACACCATGAGCATCCGTTAAGTGCGGGCCATGGGCGAGCAGGCCGACGCCCCCGGCTGAGCCCGGTCCCCGCACATGGTGTACCTAGAGGAGACAGCTCCCCGTCGGATGGCAGAGGGTGGTGACCCTACTTGGCACTGCTGCCAAAGTGACAGGGATGTGGACGGCTTCATCTGCAGACTGGGCTAATGACCGGCAGCCTCTGCTGGCCAACTCTCCCAGCTACGGCTGGGCGGAGTATCCTTAGGGCAGGGCCTTTGGAGGAACAGAAACGCTGCCCCAGGAGAGTCACTTGCGCAAGGCGAATGGCAACTACCGGGGGACACGCGGCGTGCAGACGCCGTGCTCAGCGCCTTGCCGGGTGCTAAGGTGACGGACTCTTTTACTGTGAAGTGGAAGGACCAGGCAGCCACTCAGCCCCAGCCTTCCTCTTGTGCCCTGGTGCCCGGGCCCCGGCCCCCTCACAACTGTTTAGCAGGGACCCTTCAACCCCTGCTGTCCCTTATGCCCAGCAGACCACCTTCCTTTCAGACGGGGAAGCGGGCAAAGGTGCA